ATCTCAGCTCTTATTGTCAGTCTCGTCCCACTAGTTCAGCAACATTTCCAAAAACAAATGTTCCATTCTCTAAAAATTTGAGACGGGAAAAAATCATGGTCATGGACGTGATGGTGGTTGAGGCCGTGGTCGAAGACGTGATAGAAGTAGTTATTACAACCCTTCACAAAATGACGTGATCTAAAAAAAACGTCGTGTCAAAAGAAAAAGTGATGATGCAAGTTGTTCTAGAATTTTGAAAATTCTTTGTGTAGACTTCTTGTTTGGAGAAAAAGTCTTGTCCATCAGAGATTACTCTGAGACTACTATCATTGCAATCGTCAACAACTAATAGCACAAAAAACTTTGACCCGTGATCTCAATTAATCTCTTGACGAAGCTCGACGTGACCTCGACAATATCATTGCTTGCGAAAATGATAAAACTTGTTGACCTTGACATGTATGTTCCTCGTGGATGGCAATGGCTTGGGTAGGTCATCTTCTACGGTGACAGCGTGGCATTCCTATGGGGGGAGATAAAGGGCAAAAATGGTAAAATCGTTATTTTAAAAAGTTTAATATTGAAATGTGCTATTCATTTCCAAATCTCACAAAAGATGCTATGAATTTTTATTCCTTCTTAAAAATATGCTCCTTCCCCTGCCAAATAATTACACTATATGACAAAATTTCATATCTTGATTTGAAATTTTTTTAAAATTTTTAGAGTATTATAAATATAACAAAAATGACATAATCATTATCATAATAATATCACACTTTGTATTATATAATGACATAGTCATTATTTTAATGATACTAAATTTCACTATTTTTGTAATATTTTAAAAAATTTGTTACATTTATACTCTATTATTTAAATTTTTCTATATGTGTAAAGAGCCTTTTTCTTAAGCAAAAGCTCACTGTGTAATCCACCAACACAAGGCCTTGGGAGGAAAAAAAGGAAAATTGTAACATATAAGCCATTTTGTTAAGAGAAAGAAGAAATGGAGAATTTACTCTTGATAATGTATGAGTCTGGACATTTACCTTTTACTCTTGATAAATACCATTTTATTAGTGTAATAATTTGACTAAAAAGGTTATGAATCAAGAGTAAAAGGTAAAAATCCTAACTCATGTATTTTTAAGGGGTGTTTGTTAAGATTGCCCGAAGAGAAATTGTAAGAAATACGCCCACGTTTAAAACTTACGTAAGTAAATGGCCAATTTACTAATGTATAGAAACTAATAGACCATTTCATGTTTTTAATATTTCATTTTCTAATTTTACCCTTTTCTTGCTATTTTTCCCTTTCCTTTGGTAAATTCAAGTATATACAGGATTTATCAATCTAAAATCACTTAAAAAGAACCGTACAAATTCTAATGCTAAATCATGAATATACTTGGTAAATCCAAGTTAGAATCAGTTTTTCAAGAACCGTACAAATTCTAATTGTAAATAAAGGATTGCCAATATTTATCAAGTTAGAATCACTTGAAAAAGAATTGTACAAATTCTAATGGTAAATCTTGTATATACTTAGTAAATTCAAGATTTACCAAGTTATCATCACTTTTTTAAGAACCGTGTAAACTCTATGGTAAATCCTGAATATATATAATAAATCTAAGATTTACCAAGTTATAATCACTTAAAAAAAGAACAGTACAAATTCTAACGGTAAATCCTGAATATATACTTGTTAAATCCAGGATTTATCAAGTTAACATCACTTTTTCAAGAACCGTACAAACTTTAATGGTGAATTTTGGATATACACGGTAAATCTAAGATTTTACCAAGTTAGAATCACTTGAAAAGAATAGTACAAATTTTAATAGTAAATCCTAAATACACTTGGTAAATCAAGGATTTATCAAGTTAAATCAAGGATATACTTGGTATATCAAGAATTTACCAAATTAGCATCACTTTTTCAAGAACCATTAAAACTCTAATGGTAAATCCTGGATATATGTAGTAAATATAAAATTTACAAAGTTAGAATCACTTGAAAAAGAATAGTACAAATTCTAACGGTAAATTCTGGATTTATCAAGATTTACTATGTTATAATCACTTGAAAAAGAACAGTACGAAGTCTAATGATAAATCCTATATATACTTGACAAATCTAAGAGTCACCAAGTTAACATCACTTTTCAATAACTCTATAAACTTTAGTGGTAAATCTTAGATTTACCAAGTTAGCATCACTAGAAAAAGAACAGTACGAATTCTAGTGATAAATCTTAGGTATACGTGGTAAATCCAGGATTTACTAAGTTAGCATCACTTTTTTAAAAACCGTACAAACTCTAATGTTAAATCCTGGATATACATAGTAAATTTAAAATTTACTAAATGGGTATTTTTAGAATTTCAGCTTGTTGTAAATGCAGATTTACATTAGATTGACTTATTTATTAACTTTTCTTAAGGAAAAAGGAGACAAATATCCCTTAAAAGTGTATGTGTCTGCATTTTTACTCCTTACTCTCGATTAATATCCTTTTTAGTCAAATAATTATATTAACAAAGGGTATTTATCAAGAATAATGGGTAAAAATCCAGACTATGCACTCTTAAGGCTAAGTTCTGCAATTTTCTCTTCTCTTTTAAATAATGACCTATTAATTTTAATTCCTCCTAAATCTTGGCCTATTTCACTAATCTCCCCAATTAAATTTTGGGTGGGTTAATCTGGTTGAACATAATAAAGAAATAAAAAATAAAAAAATAAAGATAATCGTTAACCCAAATAACAAATATATAAAAAGAAAACTAACTTTTATCATAATATTAGTCTTGTAAAGCTCTAAAATTATCTCATAAGTAATAAAACAATATAACAACCAAATATATGCAAAAAAAGTTCAAATATATAAATTATAAACCGACCAACAAACCATAATAAAAACTAATACAACATAAAATATAATAGGTTGTCAAGTAAATAATGTAAAATATAAGACAAATGTTATATATTATGAGGTAGGAAAGTATTTATTTATATATATAAATAGATTGGTAGTTTAGGTTAAGTTAGGTTAAGAAAATCTCAACCCAAACCACCTAATTAATAGTCGGATTGAGTGGGTAGGGTGAGTCTTTTGATCGAGTTGATCGAGTTCAGGTCATAATGAGTTGAGTTAGGTGAGTTAATCAGGTTCATCGGGTTATCAGGTTTTTTGCTCACCCCTAACTTATTTTTATGTCCCACAAAAAGGGCTTCATGGTACAAAAAGTCCTTTAAAAAAAGAAGGTGAAGGAACAGTTTTTTACCAAGATGGTTTTATTCCTTTGTTTGAAAAAGGACTATTTACACATATTGCAAAATTTAGAAAGTAAAGTTTAAATATAGTAAAATTTGATATCATTACAATAATGACTATGACATCATATAGTATAAAATATGATATCATTATGATAATTACTATTTTATTTTTTGTTATATTATAATATTCTAAAAATTTTGCTAGATTTCAACTTAAGGTATGAAATTTTGCCATGTAGATTGTAGTGTGATTATTTAAGAAAAAAAAAAGAATAGAAGATAAATACCTCTTTAAGTACATGAGTTTATATTTTTCTCCCTTATTATTGATTAATATCTTTTTTAATTAAATAACTGTATTAATCAAAATAATATTATCTAGAGTAAAGTGTAAATATCATTAAGCAATTTTCTTAAAAAAAGGATCTATGAAGGGCCTATAAGTTAACGAACCTATTTCATCTGTAACAACATATAGAAATGTGAATAATCCTAGTGTTCATGTATAGTATTTTGATCAAAACGACTCCGTTTTGGTCAAAATGCTCCCTCTATCATCAACAGTGTTAAACTGTTCGTTTTTGTTTTTGTTTTTGATGTTTTTTTTTTCTTTCATCTTTTCTTTTGTCTTTTGCTTTTTTGTCTCAGAATTGTATATTTGTTCGCCTCCTTTCTAACTTTTTTCTTTCATTCACTTCAAATTATTTTTTTGACCAATGTTATTCTACTTAAATATTTATTTTGGATGGTGCCCTAAAAAACTTATTTATTCAATTTTATGTTCAATTTTTTTTTTAAATTCCATTCCTTCAAAACTTGTATTTTTTTAAAAAATTTCTCCATTTCTCCATTTCTCCATTTTATATTTAAGTTTGATATGCTTTTTAATAATAACATGATAATTAAGGGGTTGTTCTTTTGTAACGAAACTCAAAAAAAAGTTTAAACTTGAGTTACAATTTTATTCAAGTTTATGTTCTTTTATAAAATTTGAGTTTGAACTTGAGTTTAGGACTAAACTCGAGTTTCAGTTTCCTCTTCAACTCGAGTTCATAAACTCGAACTCAAATTAATAAATAATATTTTTTCTATTCTTAAAAATGTAATAACTTTTTCATTTTAATTTTGATTGAGATAATTTTTTTTTATGCATTCACAACGAAAAGACGAATAAAATTCCGTCCATATACCCTATTAAAATTTTTCATCACCATTGAGTTTTTATTAAAATACTATCTAAATATAAATTTGAGTTTTGACCTACCCAAACAGAAACTTAAAAAAATTCTCAATTTAAATGTGCACATCTAAACACAAACTTAAATTATAATTTTAATTTAAATTATAATTCAAACTCAACTTAATATCATCACTCAAATCATCGTAATTAAAAAATACAAAAGAACAACCTTAAGTGAAAATCGAACTAGTACTATAGTAGCCCAAAAGAGTAGAAGGGCTTGTGGCAGAAGGCCCATTTCATTAAAGTGACAAAATTCTAGCGCATGCCAGCTAATAAACCTCGTAAAACAACGCCTATACGTACAGCTAATACCACAATCTACATTATTGATTATAGACACACACACGCGCGCGCACACACAACAGCACACTTGCGAAAATTTAAGCTAAGAAAATAAAATCTTTCCTTCCCCTTCCTTCCTAGTTCTACATCACCCTCTTAACAAAACAAAATTTATCGCTCTCTTTTATTTTTGTTTTCTTCTCCATCAAACAGTTATTTTCTTTTGTTTTTCTCTTCTCTGTTTTGCTCAAATGTAGTGCGGCACTGACAAGACTCGAGAGTCACCGCGCAAGGAACTTCGCCGCAACGAAGAGGAGATTCGTCGGAGAACCGCCATAACCGCCATGTCTTCGAGCTTCAGTCCGTGTAGCCCCGGCACCGGCGCCAGCTCGAGGTTCCAGCTGGGCGGAGTCGGCGGCGTCTCGCGGCTGAGATCTTCGTCCCACAAGAAGCCGCCCGAGCCGCTGCGCCGAGCCGTCGCCGATTGCCTCTCGTCCTCGGCGGCGAGCTCTCACCACGGTGGCGCCGCCGCTTCCTCCACTGTCCTCCTCTCCGAGGCTTCCAGGACTCTACGGGTTCGTCAATTTTCTCCTTTCGCTCTTTCGTTCTGGTCCTGCTCGTTTAGATCTTTCGTCAGATTTTTCGGTTTTCTCGGTCGTTTCTGTTTTGTTTTGGATTGAGTTTGAGGCGTTCATGATTTTTTGTTCTCAATTGGTGAAGTCTAAATCAATTAGTTAGCTTGTGCTTTTGAGAAGTTTGAAATTTGAACTGTTGTTGGTTCGAGTGAAAAGAAATGAAACAAAATTGGGGCGTTTGTCTAATTTGTGCTTTGTCTCGTTTCACCATTCAAGTTTTACTACGTTAAAAAACTATCGAAAATAATCACATCTAACTTTAGTAAAACTTTTTTACTAAAGTAAAAAATTTTCACATAAAATCACATCTCAACTCGAATTAAAAACTTGAATCAACGAATTAAATGAGCAATTTAGGCAATAGGTGTGCTTGGATCCTCGTAAAGTGTTTTTTTTTTCTCTGCAAAAGAAAGAAGTAAGGCTGAGATATATTCTTTTGGGGCAATTATTTTACATTTCTAGTGTATATGCTTGTGTGAGTAATGAGGTCATTCTTTTGGTGTGTTACTTTCTCATTTCACTATAAATTTATTTCAGTTCGTTGTGCCGAACTGAAGTGTGGTTTTTGCGGTCTCAAATCCCTGCATTTGGTTTATATAAGTGGTGACAAAGTCATTTGAAGATCTGAGATTTGAACTCTAGAGTTCAACATTAAAGTCTTGAGTCTTGACATCAAAAGTGAATATGGATTTACCGTTATGCTAAGCCAACAACCACACATTTATTAGCATTTATTGTCCCCGACATTGGTTTGTTGTTTCTTTTAATCTCGAGGGTGAGGTATTCTGTTTGTTTCAATGATGTTCTTTTTCTTTTCAAAAAAAGAAAAAAAAAAGAAAAAAAAATCGAGGGTAAGTTGTTATGTGCACTTTTTTTACTTGTCATGTATACCAATTGCATGCCAGGCAGATGTGAATTTTTTTGTAAGTTAGAACTTAAGTCTTTCTCTTGTCTTTCATGAATTTGGCATGGAGTGAATTTGAAATATTGGTGTCCATTGCAATTTTTAATTCCTTTTCTTGTTTATCCATTAATCACTACTTGGAACTAACTGAGGGCTACGCACCCTATTTCTATAACTGCCTAAATATTTTGGACTTACTGATTGTATAACACACTTGGAATTGTATGAATTATCTTTTCATCTATTCAACCTTATTCTCATATGTAAATAAATATAACATACTTTGCTCCCTTCCATATACCGAAAACCCGTAATGGTTGAAGCTTTTTTTTTTTTTTTTTAAATCTTCTTTTAAATGTTGTTGTAATCATTTCCATGAATGAGTTTTGACTTTTGATATCACAAATGAAATATATATGTGGCGGACAGGACTATTTAGCAGCGCCTTCTACAATGGACTTAGCTTACAATGTGATTTTAGAACATACAATTGCAGAGAGGGAGCGAAGGTAACATTTATAAATTCTTTGCTAATGTTGTGCATGTGTTGAACTTTCATATGCTTCCTTCTTATTTCTTCTATGTGAAACGATGCATAATCATCTATTGGTATTTTCATTTTTTGTTGTCTTTGATTAAAAGAAAATGTCTTGATCAAATTTGCCAATACAAATGGGTTTTGGTTCTGGACCAATGTGAAGATGCTGTATAGCATCATATGCTTTGCGCTTTACTTTCAATTAGGCTGCCAAAAAAAAAGAGTAAAAAGTTACTCATAACTTGTAGGAAAAGATAATGTGGTTTGTAAAAATATAGAATTGAGATCCATTGTGGTCAATAAAATTAGACTGTTGGAGGTCCGAAGTTGGCCTCCTCACATAACTTTACGCATATAGAAATAGAAAGTGGTGTGAAGATGAGCCTCCACATTTCAGCAGGTCTTTAAGTCTAAACAGGTCTTGACGGTGGTCTTCCTTGAAAGTTCAAGTAAATTACAATACAATAACATTAAAAATTGTGCAGAAAAGTAACTAGGAGGGGACAAATTGTAGAACAAGGTTTTTCCTGTGAACTTATATTTTATTACTTTAAGGGATCAAAAAATTAGTAACAATATTTTCTTTTGGGGAAAAATTTTTGGTCTACGGAGATGTGTTGCATGAACTAAGTTATTTATTGTGTAGTTAATTTTAAATGCAGGAAATGCGTAGATGTGTGTGTGGAATAGAGTAATGATGGAAATGTTAGGGTGTTAAAACATTATTGAATGTGTAGCATATTGTGAGAGTTTTCTTTCCTTTTTTTTTTTTTGAAGGGTCAGTAATTGGATTAATATGAAGAACTTTTTGAGAAAGTGTATCTAATTAGTAAACTTGAAAAATCCATACACAATTCATGAACTTCCTTTTTAAGAAACCAGTGAACTTTTGAACTTTTTTCTTTTTCAAAATTGACTCTGTGTACATTTCAGATGTACAATTGAAAATTTTATGTTTCAGCATTAGTTTCTACAGTTGATTTTACTTTTCACTGTTCATGTTATGCCTGAAGGCAATTCATTATTCCTCAAGGCAAAGGTAGTAAGAAACTATTGAAATTTGAACCAGCAAGTTTTAAACATCAATAGATATGTAATGCATTTTATGACAGGGAGATTGTCTCAAGTACACCCTCTTACATACTTTTCTGTTTAGGTTTTTAGCTTTGAAATTCAGGCATCATGCATAGGGTGATGTTTATTGTAGAGCTCGCCCCTAATGCTGCTTTATTTTTCATCAGTCCTGCAGTTGTTGCAAGATGTGTGGCACTTCTGAAACGCTACCTCCTACGGTATGTTGTTTTATGTTTGTTGAATTTCAATGGTATGAACGACCAGATCTATGTTGCATGCCTACATATATTTGTGCAAGTGTGACATTCTATGAATGCATGCGTATGAATCATGGTTCCATCTTGTTGATTTTAATCAGGAAGTGAGAACACCTTACCGAGCTAAAAAAGAACTTAAATTGAACCAGTAGCTAAATCAGATTAGTTTATTGTTGATTATAAAGGAACCTGAAATTTCCTGTTTGCCACGTTAAATGGAGGATACATATCTTGTCTTCACAAAGATTATATTAAGAGATCTTTTGCGTTAATATTTCTCTTAGAATTTTGATTATTTTTTTTCTTTCTATGCATGTTACCTTTTTGCAGATACAAACCCAGTGAGGAGACATTACTGCACATAGATCGGTTTTGTGTGAACATAATTGCCGAGTGTGACACTACTCCAACCCGGCGATTGCCTCCACGCTCGTCAATTCAACAATCTGGTGCATCAACAGCATCTACAAATGCTTCTCCATTGCCTGTTTCCAGTTTTACGTCTGGGGCACTTGTAAAATCATTAAATTATGTGCGTTCTCTCGTGTCTCAACATATTCCAAAGCGGCTTTTTCAACCAGCCGCTTTTGCTGGAGCCCCGTCTGCTTCAAGACAGGCACTTCCAACACTGTCATCTTTGTTAAGCAAATCTTTCAATACCCAATTAAGCCCTGCACACAGTGTGGAACATTCAGAGAACAAAGATGTTACAAGTTTATCTCTTTCAAACTCGTCAAACATTGAAAAGGTTGATGGAACAGATGATTCTGAGTACATTGCACTCGATGTTCTCAAATGGCGCTGGCTTGGGGGAAGTCAGTCATCGTTTTTGCCAACAGAAAGGTAAACAGGGCGATTTCCATCTTTTCAATCTAGAATCTAGATATTTGTTTGACAGTTGAATTTGTTTCTTAGAACCTTAACTTGATGTTTTCCATTTTTTGACCATAAGCTTAACTTGATTACCAACATTTCCCTGATATGACCAGTGACCGTGTTGTGAATCCTCAAGACATGAGAACACGAAACTTCATAGAAGTTGGTGCAGCAGCTTTGCTGGTGGGGGACATTTATGCTAAAATGAAAGGTCATCCTTGGAAATATTTTGGAACAGCTGATATGCCTTACCTTGATCAGCTGCTGCAGCCTTCACCAGTAACAGCAATAACAGATTCTGCCTCTGCTCGTCCCCACTTAAGAGCAATAACAGCATCTAAACGTACCAGAGCAGGCCCTCATCAAATATGGTATGTTTCCTCCCTCGGATAATCCCCAGCTCATTTTATTGAACTTTGTTCCTTACTCAATCTCTTCACTTGAATGCAAATTTGTTTAGAAGCATGAGGAAAATAGGAAATAAGAAATAAGATAACAAATTTACACGGTGACAGATGAGGCTGGGAAAGTCATTTAGTTAACCTTCGATGTTAGTTCTCTTCAGTCTTGAGAATATTGGAAAATGCAGGTGGAAGTATTTTTTTACTCTATAAACTATTATGAGGCTTTGTTATGGCATGAAGTCATGGATCGGCTGGAGAAAGATGAAAACAAATTCAAGATATAAGGGCCCGTTTGGTATATGGGTTCAAATTAGGGTTCGAACCAGTGGTTTTGATTATGACTAGAAAGTTAATTTTTTGTGAGAGAAACACACTGTAGCAAAATCAAAACCATGGGTTTGAACCCATGAAGAACCCATATACCAAACATACCCTAAATGTTTGGCAATAAATTCAAGTTATAAAGTTTTATATCATTTAAGATACAAAAGCACCTCTACTGGTTATATCATTTTATGGATAAATGTTGATTGGCAATAAATTCAAGATATGAAGTTTTCATTTTGCTGAAAAGTTATTGAAAACTCCATATAATTTATTTCCAAAAGGTGATGCCTTTTTCCATAAGACAAACAGAATCTAACATAGCTGCAAACTAGGACAACTGGACACGTAACCTCTTACAACAAGTCATATTTTTAATAATTAATAAATGCTCTTTGGAAATATTTCGTCACCTTCTTAGAATTTCAAATTTTGATCCAGGACTTTTAAATCTTTAGTACAGTTGCTTTCATTATGGTTATTTAGCTGTTCTCTTGCAGCTTTGTCATGAAAAGGCATTCTTATTAATGCTAATTTATACCATGGACTTGAGCTAAGTTAAAAAGTTTTTGAATTTCAGTACTATTTTAAATAAGAAAAATTACTGTTGGAAAAAATTACTGTTGTTCCAGCCCATTGCCCGGTGGCTGGTTCAGTTTGGCAAAACTTACTGTTGGAAGCAGGTTTATTCTGGGTTGTTCCAGCCCATTGTAGTTCAGTGTTGACGGAAGATTTGGTGGGTCTAGGCCTGAATAAGATGGCTAAATCGTTGTGGAAATGTTTGGTGATGTCAGCTATGTGGACTTTATCGATGGAAAGGGATAGTAGGATTTTTTAGGAAAAGGAGTTGGACATTACAGACCTTGTTAGGCCCTACTTAAGCAAGTTTATGAGAGAAGGGGAAAAAGGGCATGAAACGAAGAATTAGGGGCCAAAGTGCTATTAGTGAAAGTGGCTAAGGTGCTGATGTGGTGTAGGAATGTTTGAATCAGGGTGTAGGAAAGTGGCTAGGGTTTCTTTCATGCTTGTTCACTTTTTTTTTTTTTATGTTTTGTCTGTGTTAGTGGTTTAGAAGTCCCCGGAGTACTCAAATGCTTCGATCTATCCCTTTAATTTCCTGTTGTTAGTAGTGTAATTGGTGCTGATTAATAAAAATCCCCTGATTTCATCCATTTTCTCGACTAATTCCTGGTCGTGTGAGTGTGTTTTGGGGCTGTTGTGCCAGGACTACACTTCCGGTACTCGCCATGCACGACTTTACTAAGACGTTTGTGGTTGAAACGGACGTGTTGGGGGCTGGGCTTGGGGCTGTACTTATGCAAGAAGGCCGCCCGATTGTGTTTTTTAGCAGGCATTAGCTGAGACTAGTTGGATGAAGTCGGTTTATGAGCGGGAGTTAATAGCGGTAGTGTTTTCCATTCAAAATTGGCGCCACTATTTGATGGGGTGACATTGTGGTTCGCTCAGACCAACAAAGCCTTTGGTTTCTCAAGGCTCGACGGATGCTTATGCCAGTGCAACTACATTGGGTAAGCTCCTTGATTATGATTTTGAGGTGCAATTCAAGCTAAGAGCCGCTAACTAGGTGGCAGGTGCCTTGTCTAGGCACGGGGAGGATCAATCCACAGCTTTAGTGGCCATTTCTATTCTACAATTGTTGGATTTGGCGGACATTAAGTGAGGGCAGCATGGGGATGAGAAGTGTGCAGAGTTGTTGGCTCAGTTGCTATAGTGTGAAAGATGGGTTGTTGTTCTATAAAGATAGGCTGGTGTTGCCTAAATTGTCCCCTTGGATTCCTTGTCTGTTGCATGAGTTTCATGACTCGGTGGTGGGTGGCCATTCGTGGTGCTTCCGCACTTACATAACAAATTTCTGGCAACTTGTTTTAGCCGGGAATGAAGGAGGCAATTCGGGACTATGTCGCCCAATGCGATGTTTGCCAACGCTCCAAGAGTGAGGCCTTATCTCCGGCTGGGTTGTTGCAGCCCTACCTATTCCAAACCAAATTTGGGAAGATATCTCCATGGATTTTATCGGCAGGCTACCAAAGTCTGAGGGCCGCGACACCATCCTTGTAGTGGTAGACCGGTTGTCCAAGTATGCCCACTTTTGACCCCTTGCGCACCCTTTCTCGCAAGCAAGTAGCGGAGTTATTTGTTCGGGACATTGTTTGGCTCCATGGGCTGCTACGGTCAATTGTTAACGATCGAGATCCCCTTTTCATGAGCTCATTTTGGCGGGAGATCTTCAAACTCCAAGGAACCAAGTTACATACTAGCTCCGCTTATCATCCCGAAGGTGGTTAATCTTTGCTTAGAAACCTATTTGCGATGCTTTGTGAGTGCCAAACCAAAGTTGTGGTCTAAGTTCCTCCCATGGGCTGAGTATTGGTTCAATACCACCTTTAATGCCTACACCAAGCCAACTCCTTTCCTGGTTGTCTATGGTCGAGACCCACCGGTATCTACCGCTTCCAAGATACTCCATCTATTGAGGAGGTCACCAAGCAATTGCAACTCCGGAACAATATGTTGGATGAACTCAAGGAGCAATTGGAGAAGGCACAACAACGAATGAAGAAGTTTGTTGACCAACGACGGACGTGAGTTGCATTGTTGGAGACTTAGTTCTTCTTAAACTCCGCCCTTAACAATCGAAGTCGTTAGCCAAGAAGCTTAATGAGAAGCTAGGCCCGCGTTATTACGGACCTTTTGTGATTGAAGAGAGGACTGGCATCGTTGCTTACCTATTCAAACTTCCAGAGGAGGCCCGAAATCATCTGGTGTTCCACATTTTGCAGCTTAAGGCTTTTCGTTCTGGCACTCCGGTCGTCCAGCCCCTTCCGCCGCAGCTTGTGGAAGAGCTTGAGCTCTTGGTTCGTCCCGCGAGCTCAACCATCTCGCGTGGGCAGCCCTCATGACTTAGACCTCATCCAATAGGAGGGCTTGCCGGAATGGGAGGCTACTTGGGAGCCGCTTGAGATGATTCGATAACAATTTCCCGACTTCAACCTTGGGGACAAGGTTGATTTTGAAGAAGGGGGGGGGGGGGGGGGGGGGGGCGGGGGTGGTCTTGGGGGGGGGGGGGGGAGGGGTGCGGGTACTGTTGTTAGGCCCTTACTTAAGCAAGTTTATGCGAGAAGAGGAAGAAAGGGCAGGAAACGAAGAATTAGGGGCCAAAGTGCTATTAGTGAAAGTGGCTAAGGTGCTGATGTGGCGTGGGAATGTTTGAATAGTGGGGGTTTTGTAGTTAGGGGGGCTGGCTAGGGTTTCTTTCATGCTTTTTCATGTTTTCTGATGTGTTGTCTGTGTTAGTGGCTTAGGAGTCCCCGGAGTACTCGAATTCTCTTATCTATCCCTTTAATTTCCTCCTGTTAGTAGTGTGTAATTGGTGCTGATTAATGAAAATGCCCTGATTTCATCCATTAGTTTGACTAATTCCTGGTCGTTTGAGTGTGTTTTGGGGATGTTTGGCTGTGATTTATCAGGTTCCTAACAGACTTCTTTGAGAAAGCTAAATTTACAGCCTCTATGGGATTTATCTGATAAAGCTTTCAAGGGCTTCCAATGTTATAGGAAACTGATCTGTTTGTTTAATTGTTCTTGGATGTTTTAGCTGTTATTGTTCTTTCCGTCTTGCTCCTCTATACCTGTAATTGATTTTCATCAATAAAGGTGTTTTTTCCTATTTAAATAAGAAAAAAATCTGAAATTTCAGGGAGGATTCTCCTGCGAGCACATTCCGTCCTCGAGCTAGACCACTCTTCCAGTATCGTCACTACAGGTAACTAATGGGGAATTCAGTACGATCCTAACATTCTCTTGAAATACTATATTGTCTTCTCTCTGCCTTTTTATTTACCGGAGATAGTACTAAATGATGCCACTGGACATTCATGTCTTCTATTTAAATTTTGGCACACTTAACCAACTGAGATATATCATTATTGTAAATTTGTACTAACTCATACAGTTTTTCTTAAAAGTAATGGGCGTGGTGAACATTTTCAATTCTTTTTGAACTTAATGGGCTACTGTATTGTTAAAGAAAGGGGGCTATTTTCCTCTAATTTTTATTTCTATAATGAGCTTAGTGAGTTTCCTTAGTTATGTTTTCAATTTGTTCCCCTGATATTACCATTCACAGTCATTTGATCTTTTGGATCGGTGAGTACTGAGTATTTGTATGTTTTAAGTAATAACATTCTAGTACTAGTACTATGTTTAAGTTTAAATTCAGTCGGAAGCTATTGGCAAATTTATCCAACTTAATTTCCAAGTTAAGCTATTGTAGTTAGTTATCAACATCATATCTAGTGGCTCTTTACCAATCGCCCTTTTGCTTTGTTGTGGCCTCTTGACCTTTAGCTTAAATCCAAATTTGGGGTTTGAATTAAGCATCCTTCTCATTGATTAATTCTTTGACAAGGGTTTTTTGTTTTCCAATAATTTAGTTTTGACAATAAACAGAAACCTTTATTGAATGAAAATAGATTCAATACAAGGAGAAGAGGATGAGGGATACTCTAAAAGAAAGAAAACAAAAAACATAAAAAACATAAAAAGCCATAACAACTTTCCACACTATGAAACAACAAAACTCTCTCTCAATGGCTAAATACATCCCTCCAACTTAACAAAATTAAAAATTAAGGAAAGTGCTTAAATTCTTTGTCTGTGGACGCCCAAAGCGACGCCAAAAATTGGGCCTTATCAAAAAGTTCTATATGGCCCGTTTCTTTATCCTCAAAAATTCTTTGGTATCTCTCCATCCACACCACCCAAAGGATTGTCAACACCATTGTTTTCCACATGATCTTCCCTTTCTTGCCATTTCCAAAGACTCTGAGATCCTCTTCCAATAATGAAGTCCAACTCTTCGGACATACCCAGTGAAAATCGGCAGCATTAAATAGACGAGTCCAGACACCCCACACAATCTGGCAGTGCAGAAAAAAAAGATCAGCATCCTCCCCTTTCTCCTTGCATAAAACGCACCAAAAACGGCGAGAGGAGCATATAAGGATGTTTCCGTTGAACCAGGTCACTTGTATATTTCTTCCAATAACACAACCAGGCACTTTAAATTTAAAGGGAACACAGGTTTTCTAATAAAATCTTTGACAAGTTAATCATAGAGGATAGTCTTAATTTGTTATCAAAAGACACCGTGATTCTTACCTGCACCTTAACAGTAAGGTTGTGTTGGTAGGGGGGAAAGAAAATAGGAAGGAAGAATGGTATATGATCGAGGTGAGGAAAATGGAGAGGAAGGGAAGGGCTTTTCTTATATCATGTTTGGTATGGATTCTCTCTTCTAATCCCTCCGTATTGGGAAAGATGAAAATCTGGCGTCTTTGAAGGATTTGAAATCCCTCAACCGATTAATTCCCTCTTCTTTCTCCTACCAAACAACCATGGGTCCCAAAATCCTTCCACTAATCCCCTCCCATCTCCATCCTTCCATGTTTTCCTTCTATCAAACAAGCTCTAAAGGAATTCTGCTCTCTCTCTGTAGGAAGATCTTTAGTTGTCTTCATCACTGCTACAATTATTCTCTGACCTTGTGGTTTTGTTTGATCAGTGAACAACAACCTTTGCGACTGAATCCTGCTGAGGTATGCGAGGTTATTGCTGCAGTTTGCTCTGAGACATCTACACCAAATGCTAACGCCATGACAATATCATCTAGGTTAAATAGTCACGGTGGAAAGCCATCAATGGATGTCGCCGTGAGCGTTCTTGTTAAACTTATTATTGACATGTATGTTTTCATGCATTTGGATGGTATAATTTCCTTATATTGTAGTGCGATACTGCGTCACATTTAACTTCATCCTATTTTTCTTCCTATTACTCGCATACACATACATGCATGCAGTATGTAAGTATGTTTGCAAGTACTTATATTTCTTTGTGTTACATGGGTCATATTGGTGTTTATGTATTAGAGTATGGATATCTATAGACAGGTTTAAGTACTTGGGTTGGATTTGCTTGTTGCCTTGGACACAGGCAGCTATCTTCTGCAGTACATTACGTTATCATTTTTACAATATGTAAATGTTTGCATGGGTTCATAAGTGCAACTTCGATTCTCCTATAATCTGCCCGTTTATCTTGTCTTTGGGCTTCTATCAGTTGGGATAAAGCCAATGGAAATATGCTTTTGTAGGTATGTTTCGGATTCTGCGACCGCTGCTCCTCTCACTTTGTCTATGCTTGAGGTGATGCTTCACTTATACATGAATATAGAGTTTTTTTGTTTCACTTCTTTTATGCTTGTTCTGATATCATTTATTAAGTGTATTTGAAATTATTTCAGGAAATGCTCAGTTCTCCAAAAACAGCTTGTAGAGCTCGTGCATTTGATTTAATTTTGAACCTAGGTGTTCATGCTCAATTACTAGAGCCAATTATAAGTGATAATGTTTCTACAGTCGAGGAAGAATATTCTCAAGAATCATACTTTGATAGTGAAGCTAAACTTGCACCTCAAGGAAACATGAAAACAGATACTGTTAAGATGGGGACTTCCGCAGCTATTTACAATTTTGAGTCATGGATTTTGAACATTTTGTATGAGATACTGCTGCTTCTTGTTCAGGTATAATTTGGTTTCATTTCTCCTTGGGCAGCTCTAGTATCACATATAGCCTCATTGTTTTTGATCCCTTCCTAAAAAGAGAGTTTTAGCAGCTAATTTACAAGTTCTTATTATTATTCATTTATGCAGTTCTCTTGTTTGAAGTTGATAAAAAGTGAGTTGTTTTGTTCTGTTTTTTTTTTTTTTTTGGTAGTTACTTATTGGATGGATGGAGATGACTTGGTTTACAGAGTAAGAGTGTACTGAGAAAATTAAAGGGATGTAACAAAACCAGGGCAGGAAAATTGAAACATAAGCTAAGAGTATGCAAGATATAGATTGCTGGAAAAACTTACAGCCCTGGGACAATGGTGCTCTAAGTAAAATAAATAAATAAGTAAATGAATAAGTAAATAAGTAAGTAAATAAATAAAGGAAATCATCTTTTGATAAGAATTGATATGAAAACTCTCCGGTTTAAGCGACCAAGAGAGGGAAATTTGTATTGAATTACTAGAAAACAAGTACAGATAGAGGCAGAAAATTCGAGAGTCCTGCCTTCTCTCCCCTGAGCTAATGCTCTACTGAATACCAGAAATTTCCCTAATCTCCTTAATTCTCTCGGCCTCATTTTATTTACTAACATAGGCTAACAAACTCAAAATTAATTCCGTGCTGCAACCGAGACAAGTTAACTGCATGACAAACTTTCACAACCCGTAAAGACCATCCTACCCTGCCCTCTTCCCGCGCCTCACATATATTATATGAATTGGAGGCCTATCACCAACTATAATATATTTCTAGTTTTTATGACGTTAATTCTTCTCACTGTTCTTGAACCATATATTCTCTTTGATATACCTATACAGATAGAAGAGAAGGAAGAATCTGTTTGGGCTTCTGCATTAAGCTGTCTGCTGTATTTTGTTTGTGACAGAGGAAAAATCTGGAGAAACAGGTTAAACGGTCTTGACATAAGGGTGAGTTATTTTTGTATTTCCTACGTTTTTTTATATCCCAGTGGTCCAATCCAAGAATTTATGAGTACGTGTTTTTTCGCTTGCAGTTCTTTATTTTTTATGCATTTTCCATGTATATATATGTGTGTGTATCTGTTAGAGAGAAGGAAACTATATCTGTTAAAAGAACAATGAAAAATATGAAGAGTAAGAAGATGAGAGTTCTAGAGAAGGAACGTTGAGAATAAAATTGGTGATAGAGGGATGCCCGTGAGCAAAGTTATGACCTGCGCGTCTATTTCCTGTCCTCCTTTCTGTATTCTTCTATTCATAATTACTGTGCTGCATGTTGGCGAGTCTTATGTTTGATCTAATTTCATTTCACATTCTCAGGTTGTTAAGGCACTTCTAGAAATTAGCAGGAAGAATTCTTGGGCAGAAGTAGTTCATTGCAAACTTATCTCCATGTTAGCAAACATGTTTTATCAAGTCCCTGAAGGACCTTCGATGGGCGCAAGTTCTCCAGTGTTTCTTGTGGAACAGATTGATCTGATTGGTGGAATCGAGTTTATTTTTCTTGAGGTATGCTAATTATGTGTTATGAAGTTGTAATCAGTTGGTAGGATAAGCTTGATGATTAAATAAATTAGCAAGGCCCTCAACAATGAGGGCACTGTACGTGCAATTATTATCTCACAATGATTTTGTCATGTGTGCTCCATTTCCTTCGTGGGTCCTGAAAGAAACTTCAATAATATGAATGTCTAGACAATTTCTTACAAGAATTAGAAACTTAAAGAAATATATTCAATAATTTGACAAATCTTTTAACCAATTTTACAGGAAACAAAAAAAGAAAAAAAAAATCTTTCCAATCGATGCTTGTGTATAGCATTCATTCTGGAGGGTTAAAGTTTACAAAGATGCTTGTGTATAGCATTCATTCTGGAGGGTTAAAGTTTACAAAAATCGGTAATTTGTTTCACTGCTGAAGTTGATCTAACTTCAATGTGATTTTTTGGCGATGCAGTATACACTTGCAAACTCGAGGGATGAAAGGAGAAGTCTGTATTTGGTCCTTTTTGACTATGTTTTGCATCAAGTAAATGAAACATGCATAGCTACAGTGGTCACAGAGTATAGTGAAGATGAAATCCAGCCTCTTGCTGCCCTGCTTGCTCTTGCAGATGCCCCTGAAGCGTTTTATATTTCTGTAAAGCTTGGGGTTGAAGGTATTGGAGAAATTTTGAGGAGGTCAATTTCTGCTGCATTATCCAGATATCCCAATAGTGATCGACTAAATATGGTAATGATGTCTCTATGTGTTAATGCATGTGTTTGGATGTGATTAGTGATCAGAGTAATGTTAGCAAGAACAATTGGGCGATGATTTAGTTGGTTGAGTCTGTGTTAGTTTAATGTGATTATTTGAGTGGATCGTCTTGTTTAGCCCTAATAAGAGTTCTATGGACCATGTGATTTGTGTGCCTAATAATAATGCAAATAATCACTTTATTTTTCCTAAAAGAATCTCGTTTCTTCCCACTCATTCACCATTCATCCTCAAGCTCAATAATTGATACTAAAGCAATTGTTGGACCAAGGGAGATAGATTTGGCTAACGATGATGTTTAGATATTTCCATACGCCATTCTTTCGTTGTATTTTTGTTTGTGCTCTTGAATATTATTGTTTTCTGATGTTTAGTGTCACATTTTGGTGGATGATGTTATTCACCTTCTTCATGGACGTCACCTACTCTTTTCATTTTTGAAACTCTATTAAATTTGAAATTTTGTCAAAATTGATGCCATCTGAAGTTTGTTTTGAATTTGCAGCTGTTGGAGACTGTAACAGAGAAATTTGATGAGATAATAAGTTCGTTTACTCATTTGGACAGAGAGTTCTCCCATATGCTGCAGATAACGAAATCTCACAAGTTTCTTGAAAGCATTGAAGGGGGAGCACTGAGAAATGGTACTGACATGAATGCAAAACTATCATGGGCCACTTTACATTCCCTGCTTCATTCGGATAGAATTGCATACCGGCAGAATGGGTATGCCTGGTTAGGGGACCTGCTTATTGCAGAAATCAGTGAGGACAGGAGTGCAATATGGTCAAATATAAAAACTCTGCAACAGAAAATTGCTGATGCTGGTGTTCATGATTCATCCGTTGTGTTGGATGTCCCTCTATCTATTTGGCTGATGTGTGGCCTTCTGAAATCAAAGCACAACTTCATCAGATGGGGGTTTTTGTTTGTTCTAGAAAGGCTCCTCATGAGGTGCAAGTTTTTGCTAGATGAGAATGAAATGCAGCGCTCAAACAGTAGTGATGCCATGTGTGCAGACAAAGATAGCCGTCTTGAGAAAGCTAATATAGTGATAGATGTCATGAGTAGTGCCTTAACCCTTGTGTTTCAGATTAACGAGACAGACCGCATCAATATTTTGAAGGTAATTTCTCAGACCTTATGAATGCTCCAGTTTTCATACAGTTTATGATAATTGATAACAGAAAGAAGCAAAAATAATAATTGATTAATTAAATAAAATATTATAAAGCAGGGTTTGCTCTTTTCTAGCTTATCCTCAAAGCTTGTAGTCAGCGATTCTCTCATGGAATTTTCGTTGAGCATCTTTTATGTCTTTATGCGCTAACTTTCTTTCACCTCTTTACTACTTATAAACAGATGTGTGACATACTATTCTCTCAGTTGTGTTTGAGAGTTCCTCCAGTTACTGCAATTTCATTTGGAGATGATATCAGCCACAGTAGAGCTATTAGTAGCATGGATGAAAATAAAAAATTTAATGTTAACGGGTGTGGATCTCAACTGGAGAATTCTCCTGATGTTAGTAAAGATGCTGATGGCAGATTGAGCCACAATAATTACAATCTTCTTGATTATGAGACAGCATCATTGGCAGCACTGCTTCTCCAGGGGCAGGCTGTTATTCCCATGCAGTTAGTTGCCCGTGTACCTGCTGCCTTGTTCTATTGGCCATTAATTCAACTTGCTGGTGCAGCCACAGATAATATTTCATTGGGTGTTGCTGTTGGAAGCAAAGGAAGAGGGAACCTGCCTGGTGCAACATCAGATATTCGGTCATCGCTTTTGTTACTTCTAATTGGTAAATGCACGGCAGATTCTGCTGCTTTCCAAGAAGTTGGCGGGGAAGAATTTTTTAGGTGATATCTTCCTCCATTGCTCCTAGTGAACAAAATTTTCTTTTATTTTGTGCTTTGGTTTATCAAAGATTTCTTTGCTTATTATTTGTGGCAGGGAACTTTTGGATGATACAGATTCAAGGGTCGCATATTATTCTTCAGCTTTTCTTCTAAAGGCAAGGATGCTTTCTTTTTCAATTAAATATTTGCTATGTGATTTAACTTCATGTTTGCTAAATTTTTTAAGTTTCGTGTCTTGCAGCGAATGATGACAGAAAAACCAGAAAAATACCAACACATGCTTCAGAATCTTGTTGTCCGAGCTCAGCAGGTACGACTTGTCAGCAAATAGGGCTGGAAAAATCCAGTAGTACGATAAAACCAGTAAAATCAAAGTAATCACAGCATAGAAATTTCTAGAGTAAATTGATCGATCAAGATGAATATTACTGATTGTGGAATTGTGAAATAATACTAAATGAATATTACTCTCCCTCCTCCATCATCATCCATGTCAGCAGCTCCCTTTCCAGCCCCACCATCCATGTCATCACTCCTCCAGATAAGCATGCCTCATCTTGGGCCTCCTCCTTGCACAAGTAAAACGCAACAAAGGCTTTGGAGGCCCATCATAATATTAAGTATAAGATTTCGGTGATGGTAGATTGTTTATTAAACTTTCGCACACGATAGACATTATTAAATAACTGCAAGTTCATCAAAATAGAGTTGTCAAATATAGACGTCAATATTTTAGACACTGCAAACCTGCCATTGCCGTTTTGTAAACCTAACAGATTTTTTTTTTTTTTTTTTTTTTTTTTTTGTACGTATAGGTTCTTATAAGCCATTTCTTTTCTATTTTTCTTTTTCAACTTTTGCAAAGGCTCTGCTTTCTGAATTAACCTGCAAGCTCTCCCGTTTTTTTTTTTTTTTTTTTTTTTTTTTTTAAATAGAGTAACAATGAAAAGCTGTTGGAAAATCCATACCTTCAGATGCGTGGCATACTTCAGCTGGCAAATGATCTAGGAACTGGGCTATAGTCTGGTGGTTCAATTTTCGGATATTGTTTTTCTTTGTTTGGAGACGCCACATGGCTGAGTGGCTTCATGTTGCAGCTACTGGTGCTGTCTTGAGTGACGTACATTATTTCTTCAAGATTGAAATATATACATCTGAGATATGCATGATTTCTGGCCATGCACAAAGTGCTAACCTGGTCTGCGAAAGTACTTTATTCTTTCTAGAATCCCGATTTTAAACCGAAAAAGATGTGGTGCTGACAGAAAAATAATAGGAAAAAGAGTAGACAACATTTGCATGTGGTCGATTCAGCCATAGGATAATGCTGGAAATCTATTCAGATTACTATATTACTGCGACACAAGTTTGCCACTGGTTTCTGCATAGAGATCTCTGAAAAATGGTGACAGCATTAACGTCTGGTTCCGAGTTTCCATCTCTAGTTTGTACAGAAATGTAACAATTTGTAGCGGGGTTCCTTTGTTGTGTAAATTCTATTTAGTTTTATATTCAGAAGGTTTATTATGAGGCTTGTAATGGAAAGTTGGAGCAAACTAGTTGTCCAGGAAAAGGGTACTTGATTTGTTGATTTGTCTTGCTTTCAACCTAGACCTGGATGATGCACCTTAAGAGCTTCGATACATCTTCAGGTACCCGCACTCTATCTTCTGATGGTAACAACTTGTCATCTGCACTTCTTGGTAACAATTCTTCATATCTATCATCTCCACTTGTTGATAACCGTGCAAAGACGTACTCCATTGCTATTATCTTCATTTTCACTTGCAAATTAACCCGTCTCAATTTTATTATTTCAACTTTCCGACAATAGTCTGGAATCCTTGTTGCACATCCTATAGAGCCATAATCTACCTTATCCATTTCCTAAGTTGATTTTCTTGATTATCAATGGTACTTCTTCTTTTTCATGTAGGAGCAGTTCGGAATTTCATTTTCATATAGATTTCATGGGAGACTTTCAGAACATCCGTTCGTTGTACAGAATCAGAGCACTGAGATTGCTTTTGTGAAGACGTAGTTGGATAACTAGAAGCTCTGTTTTTTTTTTTCCCCCCTTCCTGCAGTGGTTCATCATCTTGGCATCAGTGGGAACAAAATTTCATGGTCTTGTACGTTTTTTGGCTCAATGGTGGTAGACAATAGATTGGATTACAACTTTTTAGGTGCCATTTTTAGAGGCAATCACGAGATGTCAATTTTTAGGGGCATCTTGACAGTTGTCCCTTTTCTCCCTAATTTTTCATAGTTTTGACATTGTAAATATGTGATTTCATTTTTTTGGCTTTCCTTTTTCCCCTCTTGATGATTAGATCCAACAAATTGCGATTGTTGTAAAATGCCTGCTGAGAAAATTGCTTCCCGTGTGGCTGTTGAGAAATTTTTTCTGGTATGAGATGAGTCGAATGTTCATTTTTTTGAATTTTTTTTTTTGAAATTTCCTATGATTCCTTGAAATCTCACTCAGTGATTTGATATGCAATGAGGCTTAGATTTCGACACATTTAACCCGGCTTATTTGAGCATCACTAAACATCAAAAAATCTTGTGCATAATAGCAAGTCTATCATGACTAAACCAACAAAGGCAAATGGGGAGACAGCTTATTGTAAAACCTTAGGCCCTGTAAAAAATATACTCAAATTATGATTTTTAATTTTAACGTTTAAAATATTTTAAACTTTTTAAGGAAAAAAATAGAATCAATGATTTTAATTTGATTATATGCAACAAAACTGGTCTTGAATTTCCCATTTAGAAAAATTACACGTGACCACTGAAGACAGTCGCTCGGTGCACATGACCAACATCTAAAAGTGCCTGCCGCTTCTTACCTGACACTTTGTTTTTGTTGTCTTTTTTGCCTGAAGTTAAATCCAAATACAACATTATAGTAGAATAGGAGAAAAAAAAAGTACATGTAATAGACTTCAGAATTCAAAAAGAAAACGAACGAGCTATCTGTCCTACTGTCTGTTTCCCCACTCTGAACTGGTCAGTCACAAAATTACATTGTTGAGATTCACAAGAGCAACTAGAATTGTAAGTGCATAAGTTTATATCCTACTATATTTCCGTCTTAACAGCCGTCAAGGAAAACCAATGACTACGTGCTAGGAAGTAGCACTATCCAAGCAATGTGTAACTGTACAAAAAGGGTTTTCGAATACGATTTCAAATTTATCGACATTCACTTTATTTGCAAAGCTTCAAGGCGGTATTTCTCCAATTCAGCATCAAGGTCTTCAGCCGTTACTTTGTTCTCATTATGGATTCTTCCCAGTTGAGGACCCCTGGAGCGCCCACGGCCGCTGCCATTATTGCCATGAAGCAAGCTCATAATGTCCATCTTTCCATGTCCATGTCCATGTCCAGGTCCCCTGTCGAAGAGCATATCGTGATTATGGTTGGTTACAAATGGAAATGCCTACCTATGAAAGCTAACATAAATCCTTTGGAAAGGTACACTAACAAATGATGAAATCCCAGTGAATTCTTGTAGTAGAAAAGGTAAAACGCTTGTTTAAAAACACAAAAAGACCATTGAAGTGATTAACAAAATGCATCCTACTATACTGATTTTTTTTTTTTTAAATGCAAAACGAGAGAATTTTATTAATAAAAAGAAAGAAGAACAACAGGAGACAAAGGAGTCCACCAAAACGGAGCAAACTAAAACGGAAAAAAACTAGCAACAGAATACTAAAGAACGGCTAAATCCGATCCCCTAAGTCTGAAAAGGGGAGAGCATTTAAGCCTTTAACTTGAGACAACCACAAAGCCACACAAAATTTAGGGCCCGTTTAGTTCGCTGATTCGAGTTTTTAATTGGAGTTGAGATGTGACTTTGACCGTGTTTGGAATTGATCCCGTTTTTGTTTTTCACATTTTTCAAGAAAGAAAAAATGAAAACGTTTCCAAAATAGCGTTTGGCGCAATAAAGACAAAAAACGGAAATGAAAACGATTTTTTAGTTTAGTGTAAAATGAGAGAAATGAAAAACGACTTTTAGTCATTTTTACATTTTTTGCTTTCGTTTTCTCCTCTCTCGATGAGGGAAAAAGATACCGAGACATTAATGGGTTTTTTTATACTGAAAACAATCTCTTGATAAAATTACCAAACGCATTTTCAAAAATGATTTCTGTCTGATATTGACAACGTTTTCATTTTCATTTTCATACAAAAAAAATCATTTTGGAACGAGTTCCAAACGCGCCCTTTATGTGAGCTTTTTACTGTAGCAAAAAAGTTAGATGTGACTGTTTCTGAGAGTTTTTTACTGTAGCAAAACTCGAATTGATTAAATGAACGGGACCTTAATTCTTTCCCAAACTACCATAACATCTTCCTCTAAGTCTTCAAAAATTCAGTTGTTCCTCTCTAACCAAACAGCCCAAGTGACGGAAAGTGTTGCTACATTCCAAAGAACAAGTCACCATTGAAGATATCCGCAACCAATCTAGGAATTGCCCAAGAAACTCCAAACTTGTTTAAAACTCGGTACCAAACGCTTAGTGAGAAGGGCCAATGAAGGAAGAGATGATCCAAAGTTTCGCTATTTCTTTTACAAAGGACACACCATCCAGGAGCAAAGTAAAAACAGAGAACAGATATTTTCGGAATAAGGATTCAACTAAACTACATTATGCTCTATTACACGGGAATATAAAGTTCCCTGCTTATGTACAAATTAGGTAACTAATCTACCTAATTAAAGAGAAATGAACGGCTAGCAAATATCACCTAAAATCCCTCTTTGACAACCGAGATACACTATGACAATCTAGGATAGCTACTATGACAGCAGCCTATCTACATTCTATATATAGTGCATATTGACCATAATTATTTCAGAATTTTTCAACACTCCCCCTTAAGCTGGCATGAAGATGTCCACGGCGAGCTTGCTGGTAAAACTTTCGAACTGTGCCTTAGGAAGACCTTTGGTGAGAATATCCGCAACTTGGTCAGTGGTTGGTATGTAAGACATGCATATCACACCACTGCCCAACTTTTCCTTGATAAAGTGTTTATCCACTTCTACATGTTTTATCCTGTCATGTAGGACCGGATTGTGCGCGATCGATATTGCTGCCTTGTTGTCACAATAGACCTTGATCGGTGTAGGTATAAGAACCCTCAATTCATCCAAAAATCTTTTTATCCATAAAACTTCACAAAATTCATGTGCCACTGAACGAAACTCGACTTCAGCACTACTTCTTGCTACTACACTCTGTTTTTTACTCCTCCAAGTAATCAAATTCCCTCCAACAAAAGTGCAATAACCTGAGGTGGATCTTCTGTCACTTACACTATCTGCCCAATCTACATCTGTATAAGCCTCTAGCTTAAGGTGGTTCTATTTTTGAAGATAAGTCCCTTCCCAAGAGTTCCCTTGAGATACCTAAGAATTCTGAAAACAACTTCAAAGTGAGCAGTCCCCGGTGAGTGCATGAACTGACTCACCACACTTACTGCAAAAGCTTATGTCAGGTCATGTGTGAGCCAAATAAATTAGTCTCCCAACTAATCTTTGATATCGTTTCGGTCACTTTCATCGGCAGTGGCTGGTTCTAGCTTCAAATTGGACTCAATCAGAGTATCTGCTGCCTTACAGCCTGTCATGCCAGTTTCTTTGAGTAAATCGAGAACATACTTTCGCTGGTTTATGAAGATGCCTTCCCTGGATCTAGCAAATTCCATACCTAGGAAGTATTTTAGGGTTCCCAGGTCTTTGATCTCAAATTCAACATCCAACTTCTTCAAGTTGTTGATTTTTACAAGATCAACCCCTTTCATGATTATATCATCTACATATACAATCAAGATAGCTATTTTACCTCCAGTTGAGTGTTTGAAGAACAGTGTATGATTAGCTTGGCTCTGTGTGAAGCCATGCTTTCTGACAACATTACCAAAATGCTCAAACCATGCTCTTGGGGATTGTTTTAGACCATACAAGGATTTCTTCAGCTTGCACACTTTACTCTTCCCAAGACATTCTTCAAACCCGAGTGGTAGATCCATGTAAACTTCTTGAAGATCTCCATTTAAGAATGCATTTTTGACATCTAACTAATGGAGATTTCAATTGCAATTAGCTGCAAGGGAAAGAAGTATTCTGATGGAATTTAGCTTAGCAACAGGAGCAAAGGTGTTTTGGTAGTCAATACCATGAGTTTGAGTAAATCCCTTTACTACGAGTCTTGCTTTGTATCTTTCCACACTACCATCGGCTTTATGTTTCACAGTAAACACCCATTTACACCCAACTGTCTTCTTATCGGTCAGCAGGTCAATTATACTCCAAGTGTCATTCTTCCTAAGAGCGTTCATCTCTTCCATTACTGCTGATTTCCAATTCGGATCACCTAATGCTTCCTGAACAGTTCTTGGAACAAACAAATCAACAATCCTTGACACAAATGCTTTATGATTGTCTGACAATCTTTCATAGGACAAATACTTAGCAATAGAATGTCTAGTGCAAGTTCGTGTTCCTTTTCTTAGAGCTATTGGAAGATAAAGATCAATTGGGGAGGAATCAGACAATTCAAGTGATAGAGGAGTAGGAAGAAAGGACGGATTACTTTGAGTGGTTGTGGAAGGACCATTACCCGGTGGATCAGACTGAACATCCGCCGAAGAAATAACAGGTGCCGTAGTGTCTTTGCAAAGTCTCCTTCGGGTATAAACTTGAAGTTCAAAATGAGGAATATTATGTCCCTCTTGGAGTACTTCTCCCCGTCTATGATGCAACAACATTTAGCAAAGTAAGATTAGGAAATTCACGAGTTTCCAGATGTTCAACAGATGTTTCCTAGATTTGTTTATCAAAGGTGATTAAGGTATTAACTCAGAAACATTTGGAATAGGTAGAGCTATAGTTTCCCAAAAATTATCTTCCTCAATTACACTCTCCCCCTGAAGAGAATTTTTCTGAAAGAAAGGTAATTTTTCAACAAAGATTACATCCATACTTTCAAAAAATTTCCTTGTGACAGGATTAAAACATTTATAACCCATTTTATTAGATGCATACCCAATGAAGACACTTTTCAGATTTTGGATCTAGTTTGGATCGAGGGTTATTTGGTATGTAAACATAACACGTGCAACCAAAAACTTTTAGAGGTAGATCGGCACTTAACTGAGATGTGGGAAAAGCCTTTTTCAAACAATTTAATGGTGTGTCAAATTTCAAAACTCGAGATGCTATTCTATTTATCAAATAAGAGGCGGTTAGAAGAGCATTACCCCAAAGGTATTTAGGAACATTCATTGAAAACATGATGGCACGAGCAACTTCAAGCATCTATTTTTCCTTTCAGCAATTCCATTTTGTTGTGGTGTATCACGACAGGTAGATTGGTGAACAACGCCTTTCTCCAAAAGAAATGTCCCAAGTACTTGTTAAAATATTCAGTTCCATTATCTGTTCTTAAAATGCCAATCTTAGTTTGAAATTGATTTTCATTCATGGGGAAAAAATCTCTAAAACATTGTTCAACTTCAGATTTCTTTTCCAACAAATATACCCAACACACTCGAGTATGATCATCAATAACCATTTTTTCCCAGAAAGTGTGTTAACCTTAGATGGCGCCCAAACATCACTATGAAATAAATAAAATGGTTTTGATGCAAGATAAGGTTTCAAAGGAAATGAAACTCAATGATCTTTAGCCAAATGACAAGCCTCACAATGTAACTTTGAACAATCAATTCCTTTAAACAATCCAGGAAATAAATGTTTAGGATATGGAAAACTAGGATGTCCTAATCTCTTATGCCACAACATTATTTGATCATAAACAAAGATTGAACTAGTACTACCTAATCCCTGAGCTTTTTTTATTCCCGAAAGAAAACTCATCAAAGTAGTACAGTCCGTTGCTTCAGTCCTGAAAAACACAATGGGAACGAAGAAAAAAGATAGAACAGTTTTGATAATTTGCTAACAAAGAGAAGATTACAAGCAAGTTTTGGAACATGTAGGACTGAATTAAGAGTATTTTTTTCGGAAATTCTAACATGTCCTTTGCCTGCATTTGGTGAAAAACTACCATCAACCATTCTCAACTTTTTCAACACCTGAACAAGGAAAATATGACCTAAACAAATGTGAAGAACTTGTCATGTGATCAGAAGCCCTTGAATCAATGATCCAAGGGCCGGATTTTGCAAGAACAGAGAGTGCCAAAGGTTCACTACCTAAATGTACCACGGAACCGACAAGAATACTAGGTGATGAATGGGATTTCAGCAACTTAAGGAGATGGTCTAACTGCTCCTTACTGAAAGGAGAAGATTCGGCTTCATTTGCAACAAAGGGTTCTATTGATTTCCCACAGATCCCGTGTATGGCGTGCTT